AATGAGTTGTGACTCATGACTTCATCACCTGGCGCCACTACTCATTTCAGACCATGCACATGACCCCATGGGCGCCGTAATGCGATGCTTGGCTGCTGGGGCGACTTGGCTCACATGCCGACAGAGAGGGCTCTGTGTGCCTGCTATGGCACACGTAGCATAGGTTGACAACCACTGGCCTAACCCTACCTTGGTGCACTCCCCCTAACCCTAATATAGGGGCAACGTTCCATTGAGAATAATGCAATTTTGAAAAAGCCTTCCTTGAGCAGCTTTTTCTGCACAGCTCAACATTTCTGCCCATTCTAAACACATTCCAACCATCGAAATCAGGCCAGGACACCTCATTTTTCTAACCCTAACCCTGCCCTGGTGCACACCCCTAACCCTAATGTAGGGTAAAACTTCCATTGAAAAGAGGCTGATCTTGGAAAAGCCTTCCTCGTGTAGCTATTTCTGCACAGCTCAATGCGTCTGCCCATTCTAAACACATTCCAACCATCAAAATCATGCCTGGACACCTCGTTTTTCTAACCCTAACCCTACCCTGTTGCACACCTCAATCGCTAATATAGGGGTAAAGTTCCACTGAAAATAATGCAATTTTGAAAATGCCTTCCTTGAGCAGCTTTTTCTGCACAGCTCAACATTTCTGCCCATTCTAAACACATTCCAACTATCCAAATCATGCCAGGACACCTCATTTTCTAATCCTAGCCCAGTGATGGTGAACCTTTTAGAGACCAAGTGCCTTAACTGCAACCCAAAACCCACTTATTTATTGCAACATGCCAACACTGCAATAAAGCCTGAAAACTGAATTTTAATTTTTTGGGGCAAAGTGGGCAAGCTGTTGAAATGGGTGATGGTGGTGGGCCAACTCCAACTACTCTTGGATGAAACTGATTATCTGGACCCATTTCAGTCTGGCTCCAGACCCAGGTATGGTGCTGACTGCCTTGGTTGCCCTGTATGATGACCTGTGCAGGGAGAGAGACGGGGGAGTGCATCCCTGTTGCTTCTCCTGGACCTCTCAGCAGCTTATTTTATTTATTTATTTATTTATTTTCCGATTTATATGCTGCCTTTTTCCTACAAAGGGCTCAAGGCAGCTTACATCATTCTCCTCCACCATCTTATCCCCACAAAAACAATCCTGTGAGGTAGGTTGGGCTGAGAGTCTGTGACTGGTCCAAAGTCACCCAGTTGGCTCCATGGCCGAGCAGGGGCTCAAACCCAGATCCTCTGAGTCCCAGTCCCACGCTCTTAACCACTACACCACACTGGCTCTCGATACCATCGACCCTAGTATCCTCCTGGATAGGCTGGTGGGATTGGGAGTAAGAGGCACTGCTTGGCAGTGGTTCCGCTCCTACCTTGATGGCTGATTCCAGAAGGTGGTGCTGGGGGACTTTGGCTCTGCGCCATGGCAACTTTGCCATGGAGTACCGCAGAGTTCCATTTTGTCCCCCTTGCTATTTAATATCTACATGAAACCAATGGGAGAGGTCATCAGGAGGTTTGGGCTGTGGAGTCATCAGTATGCTGATGACACCCAGCTCTACCTCTCTTTTGCAACTAACCCACGTGAGGCAGTGGCTGTACTGAACCGATGCCTGGCCAAGGTAATGGGCTGGATGAGGGCCAATAAACTAAAGCTCAATCCAGATAAGATGGAGGTTCTGTTGGTGGGTGATTCGAGCTCCTGGGTAGGTGACTTGGGCCTTGCCCTGGACGGGATTGCACTCCCTTTAAAGGACAGGATCCACAGCTTGGGAGTGCTCCTCAACCCGGAGCTGTCCTTGGAAGCTCAAGTGACAGTGGTGGCAAGGAGCGCTTTCCTTCAGCTTCAGCTAATCCATCAGCTGCATCCCTACCTGGAGGAAGATTGCCTAGCAATAGTAACACACACATTGGTTACTTCCTGGTTGGATTTCTGTAACATGCTTTATGTGGGGCTGCCCTTGAAGACAGTCTGGATACTTCAGATGGTTCAAAATAGAGCTGCCAGGATGCTTTTGGGGACTGGACTTTATTCTCATATAACCCCAGTCCTCTATCAGCTCCATTTACTTCCCATTGAAGTCTGGGCTCAATTCAAGGTGCTGGTTATTACCTATAAAGCCCTAAACGGCTTGGAACCAGGATACCTAAAGGAACACCTTTTTCCCTATTTGCCCTCCCGCCCTCTGAGATCAGCAACAGAAGCCCTCCTCTGGGAACCCTCCATGAAAGATTAGGAGACAGAGTACCCAGAGAGAGGTCCGCCTGGTGCCATCGTTATATGTTTTTCAGCACCAGGTTAAGACCTTTTTATTTAATCAATATTTTAATAAGTTTTAATATTGAATTGTATTATTGTATTTTATTAATTGCAGCCAGAGTGGGTCGTCAATTTATTAATGCTGTTAGCCATCCAGAGATGTTAGGAATTGGACAGCATACACATTTTATAAATAAATAAACAATTCACAGCCAGTCCAAGCAAATATATATATTTCCTTGGCAGTGCACTGACTGGCCATGCAAAAGCTCGGATGAATTGTGGCTACTGAGTTGCGGCTTGTGATGTCATTGCCTTGTACCACTACTCCTTTCCGAGCATGCACATGGCCCCCATGTGTGCTGGTATCCGATGCTCGGCTGCTGGGTTTATGCTGGGGCGACTTGGGTTGTGTGCCGATAGAGAGGGCTTTGCGTGCCCACTGTGGCACACGTGCCATCGGTTCACCACCACTGCCCTAAGCTATTAAGATGTTATTTTTCTTGTAATATAACAAAAATAGTTAATAAACATTAAACTGACAGGGGGTAAATGATATGGTAAATGCATTTATACATGATAGAGGATGCATAAAATACTTATAAAACCAAATTGTGTATTCATGGCTGGCATAGCATCAGATCTATTTTGCCCTATAGGTTAATCTTAGATAAAACTCCATGTTCATGGTCATTACATTATAGTTCCTGTCAGAGTCCATACAGCTGTATACCATGGCTGATATTATGAAAAGCTGTTGAGAAAATCAAGAGATACACTCCCTATGTCTCTTTTCTAGCAAAGATCACCACTCAAATGACCAAGGCCATCTCAGTGCCAAACACAGGCCTGAAGTCAGATTGAAATGAGTCACTATTTAACCAAGTCATTGTCCTGCCTCATTCCCAGAATTTTAGTGGATAGGTCATGACATCCAGATAATGTCATCATCTACTTTTTTTTTTTTTTGCTACTGTTTCTACCACTTTTTTAACTGCAGAAAATTTGTGAAGGAAAAAAGAGAAAGAAATAACTTCCCAACATCTTCTACCAGATAAGTACTAGAAACTCTCTGTCTACAAACAACCTAGTAGTGAATCCTTGTACATAAAGGCTATGTCATAATACATTTGTTAGTCTATGAGATGTCACAAGAGTGCCATGATTCTGTGGTTTGTTGTTTTTGCTGCAATAGACTAATATGCTAATACCCTGAAAGTAGTCAAAGTTCATAGAAAAGGGAACATCACTGGGATGGATACAGGAACTGGCTGAGACCAATGAGACCGTTCACAAAACATGTGTATGGTTGGCATTTTGTATATACAATCTCTATCCAGGGTTTATCATGTTGTGCAATAGGATAAAGTGACAAGCATGGGTCATGTGAGGGTTAAACTAACATTGCAGAACCCAAAAACAGATCTTCACATAACCCACGCTTACTGTGTTCACATGTCACAACCCCTGAGCAGTGGGCTAGATATGCAATCTACTGCATGTAGACACCATTTTTAAGGGTTAAATAATCCATGAGGAGCCACAGCATGTCATCTGAACCTATTACAGAGTCTACTGCATGTTTCTCATCTCCATCAAACTCTACTACCTTTTTCATCTCAAGTGAGAAAGCTTGGAAAAGTGGTAGCAGAGAAAGAAGCCTATTGTGTCAGAAGTGGATCTCATGCTAGATTTCTAAAGATCAATTCCACAAATAAAGCCACAGCCTTGGGTTTCTAAGAACTGAGCAGGGCTGCCCAGGACAGGGCGCTTTGGAGGACACGTTATAAAGTTGGTATTGGATACCAGCACTTTGCCTTGTAGCATAGCTATCTTCCAGTAACAATGAAATAAAAAAAATCTAAAATGTCAAAGAAGCTAGGTGAGGCAATGATCCATGAGGGTGCCAAGAGAAGTTCTAATGGGCACCATGTTGGAGACCCCAGCCTAGAAACCAAGAAAGTTCCAGTTTCTTCTAATATTTGCATATCACGAAGAATGTCAATGTAAGTATTTTCTTCTCAACAGTTTTTCATAATATCAGCCATGGTATACAGCTGTATGGACTCTGACAGGAACTATAATGTAATGACCATGAACATGGAGTTTTATCTAAGATTAACCTATAGGGCAAAATAGATCTGATGCTATGCCAGCCATGAATACACAATTTGGTTTTATAAGTATTTTATGCATCCTCTATATATGTATTTTCCCTTCATTCCTGTTTGGCAAACTACAGCTACCAATTTCCCCATTGTCTACACAAAAAATTAAAGTACAGAGCTATGTTCTCCTTTGCATCTGTTCTGTGGCACTCCAATTCCATTCTGACCTGGTAGTCATCCCCTTATGGCCTACAAGCCCTGCTCTCTAGTGCCACATCAGTGGAGACGGCCATAGCTAGTGGAGGATGCTGTCCTCTGTACATGTTCGGAGGCACTCTCGCCTAACTTAAATCTGGCCTCCTGGCTACAAGCTTTTAAAGTAGGATTCAGTAGTCACTTCTGACCTTTCAGGGCTGAGCGCTCGCCCTGAATAAACCCAGGCTAAGTTCTAACTGCTTGCCAGCGAAGGGATATGAAACTTAAGCCTGTGCCATGGCAACAGACTTCCCTCCGCTCCAGTAACTGCCAGCAGAGACACGGGCACGACTCTCACTGGGTGGCAGTTCCACGCAGTTCAGCGAAGGTAGAAGGAGGCGGAGAAGGAGGCGGCGGCGCGCACGTCACTTTTCCCGGCCGCATGTTTACGTGGAGATGAAGATGGCGGCGCCGGTGACTCCGCCGCGGAGCTGCCTGTTCTCGTGAGGGGTGGAACGTGAGAGCGAGGCGGACCGCGACTCTCTGTCGTCCATTTTGGCGCCTTGGGGCCGGCGGCCCCTGCCTCTTAGCCCGGCGCTTGGTAACGATTTGGTCTCTGCGCAGGGGCCATGGAGGACGAGGAGAGGCAGAAGAAACTGGAGGCCGGCAAAGCCAAGGTAAGGAGAGACAAGAAGTGTCGGGCAGAAGGGGGTGGGATTGGTGGAAGACTGCGGAGAGACGGCAGTAGAGGAAGGTCTGGACTTTGTGGTTGGAGAACTCTGGAGCAGGTCGAGTTTAAGGGGTAAAGCCTGCTGGGCCCGCCCCTCTTCCCGCTGTCATTAGCAGTGGCTGAGCTTGACTATTAAAAGCTCCGAGGACGATTGTGGCAATGAGGCGTGCCCTGGCATCCTTCCCGCCCTGCGCTTTCTTTGTCTGGCATTCTCTCTTTGTGCTTATCTGCTGCACGGCGATATCAGTTGTAACACGGGATCATCCTTCTAACAAAAACTGTAGGATACCCATTGAAGCGCTTCCTTTTGCCTATTTGTATGTGTAGTAATGCGATTGGCTTGTGACAGCTGTTGCTGCTGGACAGAGACAGCAGCAGCAGCACATGCCTTGCAAATGCCACAGGTGCCAACTGATTCTTCTGTGGTGCTGACTCTTCTGCTAGCACTCATTCCACCAGAGCTAAGGCAAGAGGATTGGCTTGAACTTTAACAAGAACAGGAATGAATATATCTTACCTTTCATTTACAGTAATCAAAAATACAATAAAATTCTTTTAAAATGCAAAAACACCATAGGCAAAAAACAACTGAATTCAGCATCTAAATTAATTCCCAGAACACACATGCACGCACACACACTGTCAGGAATGCATTACATGCACAGCATAACATGATTTTTGGGTTCGTTCCGTGGTAGTAAGGGAATGTATGTGTGTACAGGTACCCTTTGTGTCATAATTCCGGTGCATCTGGTGTCTTACTGATTGTTTGGGAAACCTATAGGTAGGCAGCTGAGTATAAAAAGGCAACCAATAAGCATGCCTCTTTAAATTATCAAATTTAAAGTGCCCCTTTGTTTTCTTTGTCTGCAGGGTTGAATAGTTATTGCTGAATAGACATTTTCCTGTGTGCAACAAGCTTGTCAGTCTCTTTTGCAGCAATTTTTATAACATCTTTAATGTACATTGTGTTTTTTTCTTATCTTAATCAGTGTTATAGGTCCATATGGAGGTCTGGTTAAACTGTGTAAATGCACAACTAATTTGCATTAAACAGAAATAGGAACTTAAATTGTCTTCACAATGTCTTTGTAAATAATATAAGACAATAGAACTAGTCTGTCAGGGTACCAATTATTCCATGAAAGGCCATTCCCTGATCTATTAGAGAGTGTGGAACATATGTCAAATAGGAAAATTCAAAGGACAAAGATAGTTGGTTAATTTACAGCTAGCAGGGGAGTGGAAAAGGCAGAAAAGGGTTAAGCTACTTCTGTAGTAGGCAGGACCAGTCTGATCAGATTTATATCCATCTGGAAGTGGAGGATCCCATCCCAGTCTTGGTTTCACTTTCCCTAGCAGAGTTGGGATCCCAGGTTTTTATTGTTCAGAGAAGCAGAAGAAGAAATACTTAAGTCTATTATTGCCCTTTGGTGGGCATATTTGGTTTCAATAGCATTCTGGCCACCATGGTGCCACCCATTCTAAAAGTATCCTGATGCACCACTCCATACCAAGTTCTTCAGAATAGGATAGAGCTGCTGGTTTGATGATGATTGCCAGTTGCATTCCACGGAAAAAGTGCACGCCCTTCCATTCTCCAGCTGTTACATGGACCAGAAAAGGAAGGTAGCAACATCTAGGTGCCATTCTCCCTACCAAATTCTTTAGAACGATGATTGGCACTTGTGTCCCTCAGGGACAGTGGTGAAGAACGCCCATATGTGGGAAACTACATATCTGTACTCACAGTCTCACTGTGATCCTGATGTTGGACACTCCACAATCCACTCCAGTGGAGTGCACAGCTCAACAGCATTACAAAATTCTTAAGACAGTCAGTGGGGCCTTTCAGCAGTGATGTGAGATGGTGCCAAAATGCTTAGATTGCAGTCCTGTATAGTTCTAAGAGACTGAGGTAGAACTGAGGTGTTTCAGAACAAACCATGGACACTGCCTTTGCAGGAAAGCACATCCTAACACTGTTGTCAGGCTCCTGGTAGTTGTTAAGCAGGGAAATGTTCCCCAGAAGCCCTGTAGTGTTGCAGCTATCTCCTTATTGACCAGGGGTTCATTCTTCAGAGGCCTAGTGCCCAAGGAGCAAAGCCCACCCATAGTGGGAACCTAGCCAAATTCTAGATTTTCTCACATGGCGATGATGGCTTACAATACATCCTATTGTAGCAGGATAGTAATAGCAAGCACACACTCATCTACCTATTCTGGGGAATGAAAGCATGGAGGCAAGTGGCGGAGGCCGTGAAGTTAAATATAGAGAGTTGGGCGAAAGGATTCTGGCAGTGTCCCTTTCCCCATCATTTGTGAGAAAAACCTCATACTTGGACTATATGGATTATGAGAAATGTCAGTTTATGGTCAAGAACATGGATGGAACAATTACCTGATATCCTTGAGGCAAAGTTCAGGAAAAAGCAGAAAAAATCTTTTCCCTCCCAATTCTTTCCCAGTTCTGGTTCTTTAGGACACACAAAGTTGAAGGATCACCTGAAAATCCTCTGAAAACTTGTCAATCAATTCTGCTACCCCATGTTGGCACAACTTTTCAATGGCTTTTCATCAGTATATTCATAGTCTAAATGTGCCACACTTTCCCATTCATTCAGTGTATAGCAAACACTCCTAGGAGAAATCCTTGGAGTGCCATCTCTATATTTCTGTGAAGATTTTCTCTTTTCTCAGAAAAAGAAGAGGTAAGTTTTATGCACTATTCCCCTGACACACACACTTAGAAGCAGGAGGGTCATTGGGCATAGACAAATTGAGTTCCCCTGGCCTGAGGATTTTCCTGTGTTTTTTATCTGAAGCCACTAGGAGAAGCAGATTACGCTATGTAAAGAGCTGCTTGCCTCTTACAATCCCAAGAAGCCAGTAGGGGCATTTCAAAACACAACAGCAAAACAGCCTTATAGCTCCTCCATATGTCTACGACTTTATGAAAAAATCATACGTACAACTTTATAAAAAGTTAAATATTCTGCCAGTGGATTGCTGTATAGCTACACCACTGCCTGGCATTCTGGTTCCAGAGTTGTAGTCATAGCAATTAAGACAGCACAGTCACATTTCCTTCTACCAGGATTTCAAGCCTTGGCCTCTTCAGAACTCTGTGTAAAATTAAGCAAGATAGCCGAGACTTCTGGCCATGGTAATGAGTACAAGATAAGTCCCTTACATTTTTCTGCTTGCATCCTCTCAGCAGGTACAGTCAGACTAAATGTACAACTTGTAATATGCAGAGTGTATACTTCAAGTCTGAAGTTGATTTGTTTTTACTCCTTGGCAAGCACTCCTTTTGGAGAGTATTTGAAGTTGTCATCAAATCAAGAACAAGAAGCAGCTTTTTCCTTTGTTTCCTAGACAGAAGGAGAAACCTTCCAACAATTTTACTAGCTCCTTTTGAAGGAATTATTTCAGGTGATTATCTATGACTCTTATCATTGATATCTTTAGTTCTTCCTTCACAGGTTAGGTTCTATGCAAAGCATTGTTATAATTTCTGAAGAAAGCAATATTTATTGTTCAGGTACCTCTTAAAGAAAAGTTTCAGATTGTGTTCAGATTGCTCCATATTTCTTGTGTTAAAGGTAAACAAACACATGGAAATTCCCTGAGGGAAAGACTTTTGCATTCATATATTTTGCTTGGCAGGAGATCTGCAGGGACAAGACACTTCAGCTCTCATTGGGACATGAGTTCAGGTCCCAAAGAAGGAAAAAAGACTTTTATGTCCTACAACAAGAGCATTCTCTAGCTTTGTAGATCTCATGAGAATATATTGTCATGTTACTCATCTCCAGAACTCCAAAGATAATTTGGAAGCAATTGCTATTAATATAATATGCTTCTGTGCTTTCTTGTTGCCTTACCAGCAGAGAGTGAATATTAACCTATATTTTAACCAACTATTGCAATATCTTTAAAAATTTCCACAAGGATTCGGATTAACCAGCACCACACTGAATTATTTGTTGGGTTCTGTGTGCCATTGAAAAAATAACAATTTAAATAAATAAAAGAGATCCACATTGCTTTCAAAAGGGTGACTCTGTACTGTTGAATATGTGGGCCTACATAGTCTTCATACAGGCAAATTTGCTGAGCAGCCAGAAGGTTGATCAAGGCAAGCGGGCATCACATCCACAGATGTTCTATCTCATAACCAGACTGAGATGTAGAATTGTGGCTGCTTTGCACTTAAGGGGAATATGAAGCCTCCTCTATGTGTTTCCTAGTCTTCCTGTGTTGCCATAGTTACTAGATTGGCATGATCAGGGCAGAGTTATAGTTTGGCATTGGCCAAGGAGGTCCTGGTTTTCAGATTTGATAGACTTCAGTGTGAATCTATCCTGGAATCTTACAATCTGATTGGATTTGATATCTCAGGGCCTGATTCTTCTTCTGGAACCAGCCTGGCTTCAATTCTACATTTGAATGTTGAAAGAAAACAACTTTTAAAGCAGAAGCTGTCAGAAAAAAGTGACAACTATGATTCAGGCATCCTGATGAACTACTATAGCAAGCTTCTTTTGTTATGATTAATATGTGGAAGTTGTTATAATGATGGTTCAAACATGAGCATATGCTTTCAGAGTAGACTAGGATTCATAATGTGACCATTTTTTCTTTACGCCACTTCAGATAAGGGGTAGGCACCCGTAACTAGGTAGTAAGAAAACAAAGTGTCCTTAGACACATAGGACACCCTCCCCAAGTCAAATGTTACTTCTGAGATACTGCTTTTCTCTCTCTACCTGTGATACACAGAATTTCATCATGGCATCTTGCATTGGTGCTAGAAGTTCTCGTGGACCTGTCATTCGAGCCCTTTCCTTCCATTTATATTATGGAACTCAAATGTAAAGGCTCCTTACTGACTTCCACCAGGTGGTTACAAAGCTCTAGGAGCTGTCAGTTTGAGAAGAGCTC